ACAAATTTCATTCCCTCTTGTCGTGTATCATGCCATATTCTCAGTACACGTAGATCCTCTCCTTCAACCTCTACTCCTGAGGTTTGGCCGTGCATATTGACTTCCTTCCGAAGAGTATGATACGGAGAGGGGCAGAGAACATGTAATTTTGCAGTGGAGAAATTTGGCAAACATACCTCAGCCAGGTGGTCAAGGCCAAAGTCAGCAGTGATGAGTCATGGTGACAAGCATGCACCCTTCATATGATGTGATCAGGAGGGCCCTTTATCTCTGTGGGCTTCCTCCCCAAATTTCATAAATTCTCTACAAAGTATTTCTCTTCCGTTTAGGATACAAAGTACTCCTTCAAATAGTCTTACTTTAGAAAATGATGGAGTTAGAGCACAAAAAGGGAACATGAGAAGAACAGGGATAAAAAAATGATGGACATCCTTCAGGACCAGGGATGTTGAGATACTTTATTTATAAAATCATACTTAAATTTTAATAATGGAACAGCTATGCATTTGTTTGAAGTTGTTTAAATATTCTCTTTAAAATTTAGAGCTATTTTCCCATGGAGGTTTGATAGAGAGGCTAATTATTAGATGTAAAGGAATATTTTTCTGGCATTTGGGGGAAAGTGTAGATGTGGAGAGGGAGGAAAAAAACTCATGGTGTGTATGGGTTTTGAAATGCCTTTTTTTTTTGGCATGCACAAGACGGGTTTACTCTGGAATAAATCCCAGCAGAACCTTTTTTCCCACAGTTCACGATTCTAACGAAATTAGGTATTTAAGAAAACTCTGTTGGTTTTGAGGTCATTTAATTAGCTGTATTTGCAAGGGAAAATACAGCAACAGCTTATTGAGAAAGAACAAAAGGGTGAAAAATTAAGTGTACCTAGTACATTAAAGGTGATACCTAATTATGTTTCTGGGTCACACTCTCGCTATCTACAGTTAATTCCAAAATTGCGGTTGGGCAAACACTTTGTGTCAAAATCTCAGTGGGTGATTTTTTTTTTTTTCAATTGACAAGCTCATTTGAAAATTCTTGGGGAAAGGCAGAAGATCTAGAATAAGCAAACTATCTTGAAAAAGCAGGAGAAAGTTGGAGAGCTTCTCCTTCCCCATTTTAAAGCACACTCTAAAGCTATAGTCATCAGGAGAGTTGGGGGCTCCTGTGGAGAGAAACGCAGGATGGAATATAATTTAAAGAGTCCAGAAATAAATACAGTCCTGGCATTTATAGTCAACCGGCTTTCAGCAATGGTGTCTCAAGAATTGAATGAGGGAGAAGTTAGTGTTTCAGTAAATGGTGCTCAAACAATGGGATATTCAGACGCAAACAATGAATTCCCACCCTACCTTCATATCATACACCGGAAGTAACTCAAATACTTAAACGGTGTAAGAACTACAACTCTTAAACGTTTAGGAAAGAGCATAAGAGAAAATCTTCAGGGTCTTGGGTTAGGCAAGGATTTCTTAGATATGAAATGAAAAGCACAAGCGTTGAAAGAAAATTGATAAAATCGACCTTGTCAAAATTAAAAACAAACTTTTGCACTTCAAAAGGCGCCATTGGGGAAACCAAAAGAGAAGCCCCAGACTGGGAGAAAAGATCTGCAGAGCATATTTCCAGGAAAAGACCTGCATCTGAAAAATGTAAAGAACACTTACATTCCAATAATAAGGGACAAAGAACCCAATTTTAAAGATGGGCAAAATATTTGAGCAAACATCTCACCAAAGAAGACGGTACGTGAGAAGATGCTGGACATCGCTACGTCATTGGGAAGCTGTGGATTAAAACCACAAGGAGACACCATTTCACACCCTTTAGGATGGCTATCACCAAAACGATACAGGATGTAGAAACTGGAACATAATGCAAGGCTTGGCTACAAGATGTGGAAACTGGAACCCCTATACAGGCTGATGGAAATGCCCCATGATGCAGCTGATTTGGAACACAGTCTGGCAGTTTCTTAAAATATCAATTTGCCCTATAAAATAGCAATCCCATTCCTAGATAGCTAACCAAGAGCCAGAGAAACAAATATCCCAACAAAAACATTGTCCCCAAGTGTTTATAGCAGCATTATTCATGAAAGAGCTGCCAAATGAAAACAGTCCAAATGCCCATAACTGATGGATGGAACAACAAAACTTGGTGTGTCCATACAGTGGGGTATTATTCATCCATACAGAAGAATGAAGAACTGATCCCTGCTATAGGATGCAGGACTTTGGAAACAATATGCTAAGTGAAAGAAAGCAGACACTAAAGACGACACAGGATATGAATTCTTTCATACAAAACACTCAAAAATGGCGAATCTAGAAAGATAGAAAGTAGATTAACGAGACTGAGGATAGGAACACGGAACCTGCAGTTGGACAGAGTCTTTTTGGGGTTGATGGAAATGTTCTAAAGTTAGTTGGATTATGCCGATGGTTGCGCAAGTCCGTGAAAAAGTCAGAGAATGTTATGCTTTGATGAGTTGATTTCATGGTATGTAAGTCATATGTCAGTAAAGGTCTTAAAAATCACACTTTGGCTAACAGAGAAATTTGGTAAGGAATCAAAGAGGCAGGAGGTTATCCCGGCTTGCTACTTTATCCTCGATGGAACTACATTATGGAAATGGTGAAAGCATTACTAATCTTCAGAACTTGGCTCTCTTTGTTGGGGAAGAGAGAGCATCCAGCCCGAGACATATTTCAGATCACTCCCATTTTGCGCCCTGACGCAGTGAGCCTGAAGGCACGGAGAGGTGGGTCTTAGGAGAGGGTTCTGGCATTTCACGCCCCTGACACCTGGCTTGCAGAATGGACTTTGGGCTTACGAAGGACACAGCACATAGCGAGGAAGAGAAGAGAGATTCCGAACAAGAATATTCAGGAAGGGGCAGGATTATAAGAACACGTTCCTGGGGAGGGTAAAGTGCAGGTGTGGGGTCTTCATTAAAGAACGCCTTCTCCATGTTGAGAGCGTGTGTTCTGGACGCTGCGTTAGAACAAGAGGGAGTCAAACTTAAAAGGAACACATTTTGTTGGAAGGAATCTGCTGAATCCGGGAGTACCTTCTCACTCCCATGGATTTGACTACACCCTAATTTTTTTCCAGCCATTTTTTTTTTCTTTTTAAATGAAAGAAGTGACCCGTTTCTATAGAAGCTTATCAAATCTTCTTCCATGAATGAATGGAATTTTTTTTTCTCCAAAAAATGAGAGGACTTGTTTTGTAAAACAGTTTTGTGTATCGTTCATCTCACGTACTTTAGGAAAGGCATCCCTTTTAGGCTCCTGTACACAATTTCATCATAAATTCAAGTCCATGAGTTCGCTTTGAGATAGGTTCTATACTGATAAACCCTGACAAAAACACCCCCAAAGACAGTCAAGCTCATTTGATTTTTTTTTTACGGTTTTTTCTTTTAGATATTTCAATACAGTGGTGTTGTTGGATATAAATAGATTTTGATATCAAGCTAATGACTCTAAGAGATTGACATATCAGAGTCATGATACTTCCTAAGGGTTTGGAAATGAATGTGTTGTAAGGAGAACAGGTGGGTTCCGACAAGACTCAACTCTACTTTTAGGTAGATGAGGTTGAATTACTGGTAGCCTGGAGTTTCAAGGGGCCCCAGGCACCTCTTCCTGGCTGTCTTCAATGACCTTATATTAGATGCTTGAAATTCTCCGTAGTGGGAATAGCTAAGCCTCAAAAATCAGCGAATCAGATTTCCCACCCACCCACCCAGGTCTGCTTGCTAACAAGTGTTGAACCACATAAAATGGACAATATGTAAACCGTAACTGACCTACAAAAACAGCAACTTCAAATCTTGGTTTTGAAACATGATGAGTTCCTTTGAGTTAAGTAGAACTTCTAAAAGAATGTCATTCAGGCACTTTTGAAGTTAATGGATCTGGGATAGGCATTCCCCCAGGGCCATGTCTGTCTATAAAAAGAAGACAATTTAGCTAATTAACCAAACAATTCAAGCAATATGAAATGTTTTAGCATGTTGTATCTGGAAAATAGGAAAAACCAAAATGGTGCATTCTATATACAGAATGTGTAAGAGAGTGTTCTTTGGTGTAGTTGAGGGACGCCCCCACCTCCCATGGAGATTCTTAGGTAGCTTATCTTACAGGTCATCAAGGTAGGTGGTTTTATTTATTTATCTTAAATTCAAGGAGCAATGACACCAGAGTAATACTTCATAAGTGTTTCAAACACAGAGAACATGATGTATAATGTTTTCTCTCGTCTTAAGAAAACCTTATTGAAAATGGTAGTTGTGTTGTTGCTGCTGTTTTCTTTTTATACTAAACAGTAGCAAGTACTGGGTAATAGCTCTCTAGCCACTGACGAGAGGTGACCGTCATGATTTAAATTAGCAAATTGACTGACATTTCTGATCTGTATTTGAAATGCTCTGTTTTAAGTTCTTCTGCATGAAATGAATGTCAATTTTAAGTATCTTATTGAAAATTCTTCTGTGTTTATTACATAAATGTGTTTTCTTTTACCTTATGGAATGTCCTAACAAAAGTGTATTGGTGACATTTCATGAATTTATGTAGATTATCACATGTTAAAATTAGAGGAACATTGAATACTTCATATGCATTTCTTTTAAGAATGTGGGAGATCCTTTTTAATAATTTAATTTTCTTTTTTTCAAACTCACATTAGCTCTTTTTTTTTTTTTTTTGTAGTATTATCTTTTTAACCCCGAAACTGCATTTTCACAGGATAGAGAATATTTTTTGCAAGTAACATTTTGAATTTGTTCTTCTTGACATCTTTATGTTTTTATGCATTTTGCATTGCCCTATCTCATTTTTTTGAAATCCAAATGTAACAACATTCAACTTTTTGTGTGACATTTTTTTTTTTCTTTTACTGGGTAGTATCTCTCTCTTTTCTGATTTTTTTGCAAACCTGTTGTTTTTGAATTCTCTTTTTTCCCTTTATTTTCCTTCTCAATATGACCCCAGGAGCCAACACAAAGAAAAACGCAGATGATATAAGCAGTAATGACCGTGGTGAAGATGAAGGTATTTTTTGTTTTTTCAAAGCTCAACCCTGATGCATGGTTTTATATCTCTCTCTCTATTTTTTTTTTATTTCAATCTCTTTTTCCTCCCCTTCTCTGAAACGAGTACACTTTCGTGTGCTTCTTTATTTCCTTCTTGTTTGGAAACCACTGTCCCTTTTAGTCCCAAGGACCCTGTACATGAATGCAAACCACCTGTGAGAAGTATAAACGTTTCTAAATATGAAGTGAGTAAAAAAAGAAAAAATGTTATTTACAAGGAAGCACATCTTTTTCTTTTTGTTTTTTCCTTTTTTTTTTTTCTTTTTTTGGCTTGGTCATAAGAAGAGAAAATGAAATTTTAGAACATGCATGTATATGTTCTTTTCTTCCTTCCAAAGGTTATTTTTAAGTTATATTGTATTTTGGAGCTTTGGTCTTCTTAATTCCTTCTACGAGCTGCCAAACTCTGAGAGACACCTTCGTACAACTTTTTGGGTGTCTGGCATTTCTGCTTTTGTTTGTTTCTTTCTCTTTTTTCTTTTTTAAATATATGGATTTAAAAATAGGTTTCAAAGAATCTTCTCTGGTTCACAGTGAAATACATGAAAAAGTATTTTAACGAGATGTTGTTTCTCTGAGGGCTGCTCTTTAGCAGCATTTAAGGGGGTTGGGGGGGCAAGGCTATCATAGACCCGAAAACAGAAAGGTCAGAAACCCCCTAGATCTATCCCTTTTCCTTTTCCCACCCTGGCTAGTTTGAAAACTTTTTTCACCAAACACCGCCCCCCCCTAAATGTTCGGTTGCTATGGGAAGTTGCTTCGTGAAGGATCCCAAGTTACTGGACAGATTAGACACCAGAAGCCAATTCCTGTTCTTGACAATATGGAAGATAGTGGCCTCCGAGCGAGAAGGAACACAGGGTATCCCGATGCCTTCAGGAGAATCGATACTTTCAAACAAAGCACACGGCCCCAAGTATGTTGCCGTGGTGCAGGCCCCGTAGGGCGGGTGAGAAGCACCTTTGTCCCATCCAAGGAGCAAAATGCATGGACCTCTGCTTATTGACCACAGAGGACGAAGGCCCTTGAAGAACTTTTGGGTTTGGGGCTGACAGGCGATGTAAGGCAGGGAAGCGTCCGGTGAGTTCTCCCCGCCAGGCAGTGAGAAGTCCCTCTGGGGGCCTTCCCCTCTACATCTTTGCATTGCTGCCTTTCGCCTCTTTCCTAAATCAACTGTGGTCCAAGAAGTTTGGCCCATGTTGCTTTCATGGCTGCCTCTCTTCACATTGTTATTATTTCACTATTATTGTCATCCCCCTGTGTTCACGGGGCTTGTCCCTACCTCTGACGTCTGTTTGTGAGGTCTTTTGTGATTTAAGACTAGCGTATCCTGCACCCGACTCGCCCTTCCACCTGTCCTTTGCAGACGGCCCCGGAATACCTGCAGTCCTATCAAAATTAAAAAAAATGTATTAAAACAGAAAAACTTTTTAATTTTTAAGAAGATTCTATCAGACCACATAAAAATAAGAAAAAATGTATTAAAACTAAACCCCAAACCTTTTCTTTGTTCTGTTGCCCAGCCAGAAAGATAATTTGCCTCTTGTTCTGTATCTCTTATTTGTGCATTTCCGTTTGATGCCTAGGACCTGTTTTCCCAATGCTCGAAATGCAACTTTCTTACCATAAAATGCCCCCTAATTTTCACTGAATAGCAATAACTTGTGATTTCTTTTTTTCTTTTTACTTTCTATTAAATGGACATCTTGTTATTACTTCCTCAAGATCATGAGAACCTTGTTCTGTGGGTTTGGAAAGCTCAGAGATGTTAGCCTAACATTTTCTCCAAGGAAACCCCTTCAAACAGCCCTCAAAATCTCTACTTATTCCTTTTCCACAGTGCAGTAGTCAACAGCGTGTACTGGGAAAAGAAATGAGGGCAAATCCACTAAATCAGGATCCAGAGAGAGAAAGAGAGGAATAAATCATGCAAAACGCCACACCTTTCTAGACAACTGGGTCTTTCAAAATCCCACATAGTGCATGATGCTTAGATGATGAATAAAGGACTTTTACTCTATATTTGAATTTTATTTGAGAAAATAAGATCTGTTCTGCTATCTATTCATCATCTGCAGAACCATGGGGCCATGATACTCTTTCCTGTACTTGACTGTGACCAGTGGGTTTCTCGAGTCTTCTGCATGCCTTAGTGAGGCAGCCAATGAACTCGTTTTGACATTGTGATCGTAATTCATTTTGTTAGCAGCCACCATCTAAATGATAGTGGTTCATTTCCTTGAAATTCCTTTCTGATATTTCAAAAGTGTCTTGGTGAATTAGGAGAAGAAAAAAAAAACCTTGCTTGATTAAAAAGGTGAAAATAAATGTACATGGGTACATTTGGGTTTCTTTTGATAACATACAGATATTTAAATTATTTGCACACACATATGTGGATATATCCATATATATACATAGAGAGAGATTCAGAAATAATCATCATTGATGTTAGTCTTCTGAAACATTCAATAGAAGTGTAAGGACTGATTAAACAGGTTATGTAATCAATACCTTTTTAGAAAGCAGTTTCTGCAAATGGACACATGGTCTCCGAATTTCTGTGCTCACAGACCATTGCAAAACATTGTTTTTACATCACTGCTCAATAAAGCAACAAAGGAATGACTAAGGGTACCCATTGTTTGCACATCACAATGGGAGTTTATAGCCCCTGTGAAAATATGTAGCATTTCACGATTTCCATCTTGTGTCATTTTTATTATGTGGCTTTCGTGTTTGTTAGTTAAATGTGTTGAGCTCTGACTACGGCCAGTAAATGAGAACAAAGACATTTGCTTGGGCATCTTGTTTTGCTTTGTTTTCGATGGTACCCATTTCTGTTCTGTTGATAATTTTTCACCCTTTCTTTGGTTTTTGTCATCATCTGTCCCATATTGAGCATTTACAGTCACTGCTGGTCTTGGGTGCTCATTGTGAGGTTGAAAATGAATCTGTAAGCTCACCTTTGAATAAAGAGGGCAGTAGTAGCAAAGATCAATGATCATTTTGCAGTTGATTTCACACTTACCTAGAGGCTGAAAACATCATGCTATGTGCTTCTTCAATAAGTCAGATCTTAGGACTTGAGCCCTGTTTAGGAAATAAGTATTTCATCTAAATTCTCTATATTTCGATGTTTTAGATATATACAGCAATGCACACATGCATTCCTATGACTTCAAATGTCTGTATGCTTCTCAAAATACCATTTGTAGGACTAGAAAATATCATCCCATGGACCCCTTTTCTTAAGCAGTCTTCTCAAGGTGTATATAACTCAAAAATAGACACCTGGTTGATTCCAGTCGAAACAGGGAAAAGTAATCCATGTCCCTTGCCCTTAGCCTCTGTTAATCAGTGTGATTTTTTTATTGTGTTTCCTTACTTGACTTTTTTTCCAGACATCCATGATCAGAACAGTAAGAAGCCAGTAATGGTCTATATCCACGGCGGGTCTTACATGGAGGGCACTGGCAATATGATAGACGGGAGCGTTCTGGCAAGCTACGGAAATGTCATCGTGATAACCATTAACTACCGGCTGGGCATTCTAGGTAAGTCATTGCCTCATGTCAACGCTGCACCAGATGCCGTGACAAACGCTTTTCGTTGTGCGGGGACTGACGGGTTTCAACCGTGTTACTCCAATGCATAGGAAGTTCTACTTCTCTGGGCTTCCTGGATGGTGCAAGAGATATTTGTAGCACAGTCTGCCTTCTTAGCTTGCACTGCTTAATTCTTGGATTGTGTTCCAGGGAACCCCCATCCTTCCTCAAACAACAGGCAGACTCCAAGGTCGCCTAAGTAAAAGGAAACTTCTTTGTGGGGGGGGCGGGGCGTGAGAATATCCTGGGAGGCTACCCAGCTCTGTAGAGTGAACACCTTTGCCGACGGGTGATACTTTGGTAACAGATGATGGTAGCCATAGACATTGGCTTTCTTCTTTGGTTAAGTAGGTATGTTACTTTGTTTCTCCTGTGTTGGAAAATCTTTCACCTAATTCCTTAAACTGATAATCTGTGTTGGTTGGGCCCCTGCTGTGGGGTCACAAGGACCATTGTATTTGCACACAATGGAGCTCAGCTCTTGGTTGAGTTTTTGCAACAGTTCACGATTTACCATAGAAGGATGCTTGCTAAGTTCATGGAAATCCAGCATGGCTCTCCATTTGTTCTGATGTTTCCTTCTGAAGTTCCCCGTGGGGAACTTAGAAAAAATATATGTTGGGCAGGGGGAAATATTTTCAGATTTACCTTCTTTTGGAGTTTTGTCTGCTTGTTGTACACTTTGTGACTGATATTCCTAGGTGTAGGTAAAAACGTTTTCAAGACAGCAATGCTTTAACATGGTGCTGGAAATTGAGTCTCTCACAGTGTGACTCTACAGAGTGAAATGTGTATATTGCAATGTGGTTACAGTAAGATAAATAAAGGGCACAATGGAGTTGTATGAAACAAAAATACAGCTGAGAATGTTCTCTCCAAATAGGCAAATATTAGCAAGAATATTTTATTTTTGCCTTGATGTTTTAATTTTATTTTGAGCATTTTTTTTTCATTTACATGGGAAAACGTTCATCTATGAGAGACCCCTGGAGTGGGGTGTCTGGTAGAAATGCATTTCTAACTTAGAAATGCAAATTTCCCACAGATGTTTTGCAAAGTTGTGCCTTTTGGAGCATCGATAAAGTCCTCGAAATTCCGAAATTCCCTGCTGTTTGTCTGTTTGTTTGTTTCTTCTTTCTTTTTTCTTTCTTTTTTTTTTTTTTTTGCTTTAAAGGAAGTAAAAAGCTTTAGCGTCAAGAGCCCACTCCCTTTGTGATTTTATTTCTTTTTCTTTTTTCATAGGTCTCATGAGCCAGGTCTTGGTAGAATCATTTTAGTTAATTTCACGTAGCACTGATTGCGTGAGTGTCCCTACATTTTCCAGCAGCTTCTGGTTAGTCCTTTTGGCCACTAGTGCTTGAAACAGGAAATCGTGTTTCTTGATCTCTTACAAAAGGTCCATTCTAACAAAGAGGTGGAGAGAGGAAACAACGCGTTGGAGCACTGCACAGAGCCTTTTCAAAGAGGATAGTGTGTGGGGCTGCGCGTGGCATCATCCCACTGAGGAGGAGCTCTGGGCTCTGTTTTCTGAATGAAGCCGTGGACGTGGAGCAAGTTCTTGTTTTGGTGGAGTAACAAAATGTTCTCTTGCGTGCATGATGTGTTGACATTCCTTAAAAGGTTAGATTTCAAAGCAAATTGATTTTCCCCGTCAAGCCAAGCTGTATTATGCAGCTTTACATAGAGAGCGCCTATCCATCTGGCCAGTTCGTGAAATGATGTGCAGATCTGGAAAACACTGTGAGGATGGTGCACACACACACAATATGTGTGCACATATATACACATATATATACATATGTATGTGCATATATATACATATATGTTATTTAAGAAAATGCTGTAGGGATTATGCATATAAATTATATGTACATATAATTTAAGAAAAGAGGCTTGCTTTTAGAATTTTTCTCCTTGAAAAATTTGAAGTCTACCTTTGGGAACTGAGAGTTAAAAAAAGAAATCATGGTACATAACAGAGCTGTAGCTGGTGACCAAGAAATCAAAGAATCAGTTTAGCATTTCTATGCCGGTCTATTTACATTCCGCGAATGAGCTACTGTGGAGGCGCTTAGAACACCACAGACCCCCTTTTATTTGCGGAGGTGAAATGTGCCAACTTTGCTGATTATACACGGGTGGTAGAGATTTCCAAATGTGACTTAGTTTATCTCCATCACGGATCTTGCATGTGCTCAGATCCTCTTGAAACCCGTCCCCGGCCCGCACTTTAGCTTCAAGGAAGTCGCTATTTTGAGTCTTGAGAAATATTTTTAAACCACGAGGATCCAGATATTTAAAAAGATGATCAAATAAAATGGCCCAGCCCGCGTGGTGATGAACGTTCTAATTAGCGCTTTTGATACGGGTAGATATGTTTTGAGCAAAACGTTGAAATATTGAGTTTCTTCTTCAAAACATCATTAGTGCATAAATGCTCTTTTCCTGCCTGAGAAATGGAAAAATATTGCTGGATATCATTATTTTTATGGAGTAATAAACGCTGTTTACCCATCCAAAAGAGAGGGTTAACAAGAGGAATGATGGTCCAAGCAGGAGGCTGGTGCATGGAGTGAACATAGATTTCAGAACGAGGCGGAAGTGAACTAGCATCTTCCCCACACCCCCGTGTCTGAGCTGTGATGCCCAGAAAGGCAGTGAATTTCATCAGATTCTCTGTAGAAAGTTGTAGCATTCTCTGCCTTGCAAGGTGATCGTGGGAACTTTCCCAGCCCACAACCGGCATCCAGGACACCCGATCACTTTATAATTTCCATTCTTATTAACATCGCTGGGTAGCATATTGAGATCATTGTTGATCCCCAGAAGCAGTTGCAACTGGCCAAATATGGAATGGCTAATATCTGTCAAATACCATCCTCTAAACTGAGCCTTAGTTAAAAAAAATAATTATTATAAGACACTTGTCCTATAAATGGGAGGATCTCCACGCTTGCTTTTTGAAATCAACCCTGTAATATATGGGCTAGTCCGGGATGGTTGAGAGTTGTTAATATGCTGTTAATAAACTGGGATCGTCCCAGGCAAACTGGGAGGTGTCATCATGGGTATAAGAAAGTTAATTATGCCTACCCTTAAGTCTAGTGATCGAACTGGTGTTCCATTTATTTTCAAAGAAGATGCTTTTTTATAAACTTATTTCCTCTTTGTTTTGCTCTACACCTTGGTCATTGGGAAGGCACATCTATCCAACACTTGTGTCCCATCAAATCTACCTCTTACTTATTTTTTCATGACAAGTGTCCAAAGACCTCTGATATAAAAGAGAAATCTCCTCTCCCATGCTTTCTGATGGAAATGCCTGGAATTTATTTATGGGTGGTTCTTGCCTCTCCTTCCCGTCATTGTCTCCCATTTTGCCTTTACATCTTGAGTTGGTTAATTCTACCTCCATTCAAATATTCACTTTCGTTTACCTCCCATGGACTCACTACCTTTTTGGTTACCCTGCCACGTGATGCCTCCTGCATGCTTTAAGTTATTTTTGCTTCAAAACGGTCCGACCGCTCTGCATCAGCAGCAAACTCATGGAGAGCCTGCAGCGTGGCCAGCCTTGGATGGCGGTAGCTGTTCACTCAATCCTCGCAAACCTCCCTGCAGGGGTTCGCTTACTTTATTTTCAAACGCACAAAGGCTAGGAGATGATAGGGATGCCCCCCTCAGTGGGTTATTGTTTGCTCATTCGTTATTAGGGTGCTTCAGCGATGGTGGTCTCCACCGGGCAATAGCACTGATGGGTCACGTCAAAGCTCTTTGGCGCCATTGATCTAATGCGTTATGGGCCAGTTGTGTGTGAGAGGGATGTTGTCCATTCTTTGCCTGTCTGCTGAGCATTGCCCATCACGGAGTCAACACCACCAAGGCAGATGGTGACCTCAACAGGTTTCTCACCTGATGGGTATTTTATGGTCTTAAGGAATGTTGCCCATGGATTTATATAACTGACTTTTTCCAGGATTCAGAAAAAAGTACCAGAAACACCTGCTTGTTTTTCAGGTGCTGGTAGCTATTCTGAAATTTTTGTCTCAGGGAAGGTTGTGTAGGGGTGTCCTGAAGTTGTGTTTAAGGCCAGTAATTGCATATATTCGCTTAGGTGCAGTGATGTCATGACTTTGAATAGAACACAGAGATGGTCTGAAATAAACATAGTCTACTTGCGGAGGGAAAAGAGCAGGGGACTTAAAATTCATGTGACGAGAGCTCTTTGCGTGCTGCAATGGTCTGTTCACCTTCGTGGTTCTGGTCTACTCTGTGGGGTCTTGGTTTCCATCTGAAATGGAGGGTGGGTGGGTGGCATTTGGAGGCAGCTCTTTGACATCAGCCAGAGAAGTCTCACTCTTATGCGTTTGGTATGTTGGTATTCCATGTCAGATTCCATAAAAGGAGTCTGGGAATCACTGGGGCACAGGATCAACAAGTTCCTATGTAAAGAGCTATGATCTGAATCGCATATTGTGTGCATCATGCATGAGCATTTTGCATCCGTGAAAATTTGGTGGGTCCCTATAATATGCCTTATGCACCTGTGTTGAAAACTGTCAAGGTGCCACGCCGAGCGTACCTCGTCCCTCTTTCTTTGGGAGTTAAGTATGTTCGCTCTTCGCTAATTGCCGTGTTTTATCGTTTTCTTAGACTGTTGTCTTTTCATTGTTTTTATGTTTTATTAAGGATTTTGTTTTAAATTACAAATGGAACCCATCTTATTTATCAAGTCAAGAGTTCGTAAGTGCATATACCAAGGGAAAAAAATAATTTCCTCCTTCAAGGGTCTGCAGGTCTTGACACTACTCTCCTAACTCCCATTATGTTTCCTCTCCTTGCAGGTTTGCCTTGATTTGATTTCCCATGGGAAGAGTGGCATTTATTTTATCTATTTATTTATTTTAAAGATTTTATTTATTTATTTTGAGATAGATGGAGAGAGCATG